TCTACAGAAACTGTTGAATAGCAAGTATAACAGGACACACTTATAACAAGACTAGGAAGCACGGATGCGATGTGATCCCCATTTTTCAAAAACAAATAACAAAATACACACGTGCCCATACAACCGTATATGATGATAGAATAAAATGTACACAATCTATTTACAACATTCTAGTGGTGCTGCAGAGAAAATATTGCGGGTAGGGCGCTTGCCTTGCATGTGGCCGACCTGGGGCTCGACTCCCTAGCATCACACATAGTCCCTAAGCACTGCTAGGATAATTCCCAGAGCCAGGAGTTACCTCTGAGCACTGCTGGGTATGGCACAAAAACAAGCAAAACAAAAAATATAAAACAAACAAAAACCCATTCTGGAGACCAGAGATTCTACTTTAACTGGTCATGGGCATCTTCTTTCTTCCTTAGATCAGGGTCTTTAAATAAGATGCATATTAGAAGTATCTGGTCACTTACTTTAGGGCACTCCAAGCAGCCTTGCAGGGCTGCTCAGGCTTTGGGGATTGAACTAATGACCAATGCATGTAAGGCAGATGCTCCAGTCATATGAGCTACCTCTTGGAGTCGTATTATTTCCGTTTTTATTTATTTTAGGGGTTGCAGGGGATGGGGGAACTAAACCTAGGACCTCACACATGCAAAGCATGCACCCCACCACTCTTCTTGGTCCCCAAACCTCAAAAACCTGATGAGAGAAGCCGAAAAGAGCTCAATGGGCCGAGAGCAGGAGCCCAGCGAATGCTCAGCACATCATGGTTCTCTCTACAGAGCTGGGAGAAGCCCCCAGCACTGCTGGCGGTGGCTCCCCCATCCCCACTTCTCAAACACACACACACACACACACACACACACACACACACACAACCTCCTGATGGTCAAGCACAGCCCTTTTTTTTCTTTTCTTTTCTTTTCTTGGGTCATACCCGTAACACCCGGTAATGAACAGGGGTTATTCCTGGCTCATGCACTCAGGAATTACTCCTGTCGGTGCTCCAGGAACCATATGGGATGCTGGGAATCGAACCCGGGTCGGCCACGTGCAAGGCAAATGCCCTACCCGCTGTGCTATCGCTCCAGTCCCCAGGCACATCCTTTACTAATTAAACGAGACTCCTGGGAATGGCAGCCAGGCAAGGACATCTCCCCCACGGCCACCCTTCACAGAGGTTAGGACAATAGCCAAGATATAAACATAGGTGCCAGAGCGATAGTACAGTGGGTAGGGCAACTGACCGGGGGTCAATCCCCAGCATCCCATATGGTCCCCTGAGCAATGCCAGGAATAATTTCTGAGTGCAGAGCCAGGAGTACCAGCTGAGCATTACCAGGTGTGTGTGGCCCCAAACCACCACCAACAAAAAAGATACGGAAACAATGACCCAAATGTCCAACTAATGGATGAATAAATCAGGGGGTTGTGGTATAGATACACAATGAAATACTGTACAGCTCGAGGAAAGAATAAAATTATTCAATTTGCTGTGACATGGATGCAACTAGAGGATATCATGCTGAACAAAGTCAGTCAGAAGGAAAAGGACAAATACAGAACGGTCTCATATGTGCAACTTGAAGATACATAGCAGGGTAGCAACCAGGGGCCAAAGGCAAAACAAAAAAGAGTTTGTGGGAAGGGTTCAAAAGGAGGGGTGTTGGGGTCCTTGGGAGAGGGAGGTGGGTACACTGCTGATGGTGGTGTGGGAATTGAGCGCAGGAAACCAGCGTTAGCAACACTGTAAATCACAGAACCTCTATCAATAAAATAAATAAGTTTTTCCAAACCTAAACTAAGCCTTCCCCTCCTCCCTCACCTGCCCAGCAGATTCTAGAATGCTTCAAGGTGTGAGGACAGGCAGGGGCCCTCAGAGTTCAAAACCACTTCTAAGAAGGAAGGGGACTCACACGGGGTGATAGGCACAACCTCTTGATGGGTGACATCCGTTTCAAGCTTGGAAACAGAGCTTGAGTTAGGATCCCCAGGGAAAACAGAGGCTGGCTGCAGAGATCCAATAGCCTGGGAAGGCAAGGGAGCATGGCTCTTGCCTTTCATCCTGCAGATTCAGTCTGAATCCCCAGAACCACATGGCACCCTTAGCACTGCTATCTCAACCCGCAGCCCCTCAATCGCCTAGAGCTGATAGAGCTAGGAAACAGTGTGGGCACCCCGATTCATCATCTCCAGGACAGAGAAGGACCAGAGGGATTATTATTTAATTTGGGGATCATGTCCAGTGGTGTTTAGGGTTTACTCCTGGCTCTGTGCTCTGGGATTATGCCTGGTGAGACTGAGTGTCATATGGGTGCCGGGGATTGAGCCTGGGTCGGGGGTGGCAGTGTAGTTCTAGAGTGCTGCCAGGTGTGAAGGCAGGCAGAGGCAAGTGCCCTCTGCCCCTGGTACTCTCTGGCCCCTCTGATCGTGATTATTTTGGAAAGGCTTCACTGCCTCCTAGTCTCTCTTTGCCAAGACATCACAGGAGATGAAATTCCTTTAGAAGAGATTCATTCCTTTGGGTTCCTCCTCCTAGGAGCTATTAGAAAAAAATGCTAGTACCCATGGGAGGAATTGCAAGTTAATCAGATCTCAGCACCTGCCTAGTATGCGCTGGGTGTTTTGAAGGGAAGAGAAAATCTGGTTTATTGGGGGTGGAGTTTGGTGTCGGGTCGGGGGAGGAAGAGTAGTCCTGGGATTGAATCTAAAAACTTCGGTCCTGCAACATAGATGTTCTACCATGGAACCATATCCTGGTCCCCTCAGGGTGTAAGTCTGGTCTTGTCAATTTCCTGCTCAGACTCTCCATTCCCCAGGCTTATTAAAAAAGCTGCATATCATTCCTCTTCCCGCCCTTTCTTGTTGGAACACTGCTGGGGGCGGTAGTGTGGGGGTGGGGTTTTACTTTCTGTTGATAGGGAAGGGCTTGTTACCACTGGCTGTCGAAGTCCAGCCTGCAAAACACGTCCAGCCCTCTGAGTTAAGCCAGCTCCCTAGCCTGTAATTCTCTAAATTATTTTTTCTTCATAACACTAACAACACCAAATACCAGATCTACCCTCTTAATATATTAAAAAGTTGTGGGCTTTTTTTTTGGGGGGGGGGCATTATTCAAGAACTGTATGTGATTTCAGCCATCAAATCCCGGTGGGCTGAAAGCAAAGAAAGTGCCTTAGCCCTCCCTGTATCTCGTGCCCCTTGACACATTTCAAAAGGGAGAATACAACCTTGTTAATTATCAGCAAAAAGTGGGGCTGGGAGCTCCAGAATGAACTCATTTTGCGTAATTGAGACTTCATGCCATTGATTAGCAACTCCCTGCTCCAGTTAATTCCAGAAGTTGCTCTCCTCTTCAGGGAATGAGAGAAGGGGGGGGCGGTGCTTTTGAGTCGGCAGAGTGGCCCCGGGAAAAGGGGTCTTCTGCAGCTGTGATAGGTTGCTCCACGCACCTTTGATCTTGCAACTTTCCAAGCCAGAGCATCTCCCATTGTTGAGTAAATCTGATACACATGGTTCCTTTTGTCCCCTCCCAGCCCCATCCCCCCCACCCCCAAGTATTTTCCTCCGGTTGTTTTGCGCTTCAAATGGTCAGTTCAAGGGTCAAAGGGAACAGCCTGGAATTAGGTGCTTAGATTTAAGCTCTTTTAAAAGGCTTACTTGATCCTCCCCCACTTGCCTAGCGGAGGTTAAATCTGCATGGGGGGACGCTGGGAAAATGATGCATCAGTTCCCAAATCAACCTGGGCACGCGGGACTCCTTGGGGGATAAGCCTCCTGCCAGGGCACTGTGCCAGGTTATACCAACACTCGATGCTCCCTCCTGGCGGGGCCTGGAAAAACGACCGTCTGAGTCACGGTGGACGAGCTCAGTTACGCGGACCCACAGTCCGCCGCAGCGCTAATAACGCTCTTCTTGCAAAGGCGAGTCAGTCCACCTCGCCAAGCACCCTGCAACTTGATTGAACTCACAATCGGCTGCGAGGGACACGCCCCCGAACTCTCGGTAATTAATGACACGTTTCTGGCGGTTCGCAATCCTGACTCCGCGTTGGAAGTGCTGAGACTCCCGGGTCGGCCTCTCGTCATCAGAAGCACCCCCATCCCCCCTTTCCCAGCCGGCCAGTCGTGGTTTTCGCGCCCCGCCGAGCGCTCACTGGACGCAGGGCCCTGCGCCACGGGTGCCGCCACCGTGCCAGTCAGTCCCCGGGTGGGGTGGGCGGCGGGGGGCGCCCCGCTCTGCCACGGGCCCATTGTCGGGTGGGCGCTCTCCCCGCCGCGTGCCGACACGCCCTCTCCGGTGCAGGAAGAAGGACCGGGTGGTGCTCGGTGGGTACCGGGAAGAGGGAGACGCACCCAAGTGGTGGGGGGGGGTGGGGTGGGAGGCGGGCGGTGGGAATCCTGCAGCAGCGCTCGCCGGCTCCGGGGAGGCCGGCGTCCGTCCCCAGCGCCTCCTGGGCACGCGCGGCCGGCCCCGCCCGCGTGCGCCGGACGCCAGACCGGGAGCGCGCGTCCTGCCCCCCGCGTCCCCGCGCCAGATCCTCGGCGGCGAGCGCGAGTCCTGCCTGCTGCGCCCCCCGCGCCGGACGCCGGGCCCGGAGCGCGCGTCTCTGCCCCGACCGCGCCCCCGCGCCGGACGCCGGGCCCGGAGCGCGCGTCCTGCCCACCTCCCCCCCCGACCGCGCCCCCCGCGCCCCCGCGCCGGACGCCGGGCCCGGAGCGCGCGTCCTTGGTCCCGCGCCCCCGCGCCGGACGCCAGGCTCGGAGCGCGCGTCCTGCCCCCCGCGCCCCCGCGCCGGACGCTGGGCGGCGAGCGCGCGTGCGCCCCTCCGGACGTCCGCGGGAGCCGAGCCAGAGCGAGCGGCGGGGCCGGGCGCGCAGGAGTGAAAAGGAGGCGGCGGCCGCCGCGGCTGCGAGCAACAGATCCGGGCGCCGTGAGCCTCCCGGCTCTTGCTTGTTGGGCGATTTTTCTCCTAATTAAAAAACCAAAAATTTTTTTTTTAAATTTACATTCGAAAATCTTGCATTTTTTTTTCTTTCTAAATGGCGCTCGTCCCGGGTCAGCGGGCGTTTTTCTCCGCTTCGAGATGGGCTTGGCCGGTTCCGTCTTGGGCACCGGTGGTGGCGGCGGCCTGATTGTCAGTCCTCCCCGGGCATTTTTAAGGCCAGGAGCCGAGCGCGGCTGCATGTAGGAGAATTGCCCTCCACCCACCCACCTCCCCCCCCCTTTTTTTTTCCTTTCTCGCGGCTGCTCGACTTTTCCCGCCCCACGGCCTTGGGTGATTGTGTTTTTATTTTCGGGGCTAGGGAGCTCGTCGCGGTGCTGCACGCCGCGGCTCTGGGCAGAGGGGACGCGCGGCGGACGCGGGTCGCTCGGAGGGGGAGAGCCCCAGCGCGGCCCCCGAGTTGTGTGTGTGTGTGTGTGTCCTGTCCCCGCCGGCGCCGGGAAAATGGAGGCTGTGATCGAGAAGGAATGCAGCGCGCTCGGAGGCCTCTTCCAGACCATCATCAGCGACATGAAGGTAAGGACGCGGGGCGCACCCACCGCCGGCCACCTGCGGGAGCGCCCTGCCCGGTGTCACCTGCCCGCCGGGCCTCACCCGCACGGGAGGCCGGTCTGGGGAGGTGGCGGTGGCGGTGGTGCTGGTGGTGGTGCTGGGTGGGTGTGGGGGGGGGAGGTCCTGCCTTCTCCCCTCCTCTCCTTGTCGGGGTGGGAGAGCGGGCAGAGGGGTTGCGGGAGCCACCCGTGCCCATGGGGTCGGGGGACTCGGGGCCTCCGAGCCAAGTTTCCCCATTGTCTGTCACTGGATGGAGCGTTCGACCCGCCGAGCAGACACTTGATTTCCCCAGGGACGGGGGTTGGGGGTGAGGGCCTGCCCGCTCCCTCGCTTCCCCCCCCCCCCACCCCGTCGCCCCCCATGCCTCGGGTGGCAGAGCCTGAGCGAGGCCTTCCTTGCCCTCCTTGGTTTATCCGGTGCTTGGGAGGCGGGACCCGGGCGGGGGGTGGGGGGGAGGGGGACCCAAGGAAATGAGGTTATTAATTAGGCTGTTGGGAAGCAGGTGAGGAGGGTGTGCTTGCGTTCCCGGGTGGTGAGCAGAGCAGAAGTTCCCAGAGCTGCTGCCTTGCAGGCTCACCCCCCCCACCCCGCTTTCCCCTAGCTCAAGGCAGGGGCGCCCCCTCCCCACCACCGTCTCCCCAAACTGCTTCACTTCCCAGTCCTCCACGCCCAAAGCAAGCGCGCGCGCGCGCGCGGGCACACACACACACACACACACACAGACACACGCACACGCACACATACGCACACATACGCACGCGCACGCGCGCACTCCAGCTGGTCGCTTACGAGGATTGTGACTATTGGGCAGGCACGCGTGCCTCTGTATGTGTGTGTGTGTGTGTGTGTGTGTGTGTGTGTGTGTCGGGGGTGGGGGCGGGGAACACCACCCCAGGCAATCTTTCCTGCAAAGGGTGGTACTGGGGATAACCTGATCCTTGCACGTAGATTATTTTGGTGCAGAGAGGGACCAGAGCTCTGTGTTACTCATCCAAAGGAAATAGCACCCCGCTCGTGTTGTTGGCTGGAGGCGGGAGTAGGGGGCGTTAGGTGTAGGTTTTGGTGGTGTTTTTTTTTTTTTTTCCTTTAATGTGTATTTATGGAGCTTCTCTTTGGCTCTGACCCATCTCCAGTTTGCCTCAGCAGATCCGGGGAGGCGGTGTTTAATGAAAAGCTCGGCTTTCAAAATGAGTGGGCAGCTTTGGAAAGCTGTGCCACGGGTGGGTGTGGACAGGTCCCCCCCCCCCCCCCCCACACACACACACACCCTCCGTGGCTGCCTGGGAGCTGGGATGAGCTTTGTTTGACTGGGGAGAGGGTTCGAGGTTCCTTGGGGGAGGGCATGCTTAGTTGTCAGGGTCTACTTCTCCACCATTTCCAGCCCACCACCTCCTGGCCCAGGGATGAACTTTTTTTTTTCCCCAAGGTGCAGTCATCCTAGGCTTGCCTATTTGGATATGTCACTCTGGCGCCTGCGCCTTTTGTCAGGAATGGACATTCTTGTCCCGTCGCCATCCTCTTCAGAGAGACCCTGTGTGTGAAGGAATGCCTCTAACCCAGCCACTTGAATGTGCCTGGCTGTTCCCTCTTTCCTTCCCTCCTCTCCCCAACCCTCAGTGTTTGTCAAGTGCTCTTTCGAGACCAAGATGAGTGCTTCCCTGCTCCTTCTGGGGGTAATTTTTAGTAACTCGAATTCTGCTCTCCCTTAGAATCCAGTGCGATTTCATGTGAAGTGTACCTGGTGTATTCTGATCACCAGGGGAAGAAGGGGGTAGGTAAAGCTGCCTGTGTGTGTTTTTTAGAGGAGAGAAATGAAAGTCTCCAGGTCCTCCATGCCACCAGGACCCCAGCAACCTTATGGATATGCCTACTGCAGTCTCAGAGGGTTCTCATCGGAAGTTTCTCATTTTTTTTTTCTTTTCTCTTTGTTCCTTAATCCAGAACACAGGCTGGGCCCTTCACATCCACCAGTTTTGATTCAAAGCCCCCAGTAGGTAGCTTCCCGGAGGGTGGGCATCCTGCAGGGCCCTCTGGTTGGGGGTCTTGGGGGTGCTCAGGGTTCGTGAATTTCCTTCTGCAGAATGGCAGTGTAAGGTCCCTTTTCCGCGTGGGAATCTGTAGCTGGAGGTTACACTTCTTTGCCTTTGACTTTGGTATCGTTTGTTCAACATCCTGTGGGGCAGACGTTTATTTACAAGGTTTTCTTTTTCTTTTTTTCTTTGGTGTTGGTTTTGTTAATGGAGGATTTCAAAAGCAAGGGGGAGTGGAAGACATGAACATAGCCGGGAAAGGAGATGGTGGCGATGGTGGTGGTGGGGTGTCTGCAGGATTTCAGACTGTTCTGGGAAGAGAGAGAAGAATCTGATGACTTGTTTATGCAGAAGACAGTTGTTGCATACTGCCTGGGAGTTCTCCTCATCCCGGCTTCTCTGTGGCTTAGCCAGCAGAGATACTTGGGAGGAGAAGGAGGATGACACGGCGTGTTGGATGAGCTGTGTGTGGTGACTCCAAGGCACCCTCAGTTCAAGTCCAGTTTCCATGTCTGAAAGCTGACTTTCCCGTGACCTGCTTATCTCCTTTCCCCCTGGGAACTCCCACCAAGGGGCACACATGCCTCTGGTCCCCTCTCTGTGGCCTGTGAATGACGCCGGTCAGGGTTGGAAGCCCAATGGGGTAGGGCCAGGGTAAGGAAATCCCCCCCCCCCCACCGCCCCCACCCCTCTTTGCTGTATTTGATTCTCTAAAATGTACAGCAGCACAGGAAGGGAGTGAGTTTCCTCTTTGGAAGAAACAAAAATGGAGGCATTTCAAGGCTGACATCCATCTTTGAACACCCAGGACCCCAAGATAGCGGGAGCTCTCGTGGGGAACTTCCCCCCACCCCCACCTCCTCTTGCTCATCCTCCGTGGGGCTGGGCACCCAGCTGTTTGGATGGGGCATTTTACTCTCTTTGGCGGGAAGAGGGTGGGGGCGAGGGAGTCGGGGAGTACGTAGACATCCTCACTATTTTTTTCCACTGGGCCCCAGCAGCAGCAGCAGCAGCAGCTGTTAAACGACTTACTGATTCCTTGAGGAGAGGAAGCCTTGTGTTTTTCCCCTTTCTTCCACCCCGCAGCGGCCATGGTCCCTGTGAACAGCAGTGTGCAAAATCGCTTACTGCCTGCCTTTCCGCCTGGCCCCATAAATCAGCTCATCTGGTGGAGAGCTGGTCCCACAGGAAAGGGGGACCAGAGGTTCATGGGGCTGGGCGGAAGGGCTCTGGGCCCGTTTGCCGGGGGAGCAATAGCCTGGGAGGGGCTGTGTGGACGTCAGAGCAGCTGGTCAACTCCTGGCCCTGGGGCTGCCGTCTTTTATGGCGTCTCTCCCCGAGTCTCACCGCAGTGGGTTTAATCCTGCAAAGAGGTTTGTGCCATTCATGTTTTAAAGGAAACTGATGGTTGCCCCTAGGTGACACCGCCAACCCCCCCCCCCCCCCCCAACACACACAAAAGCAAACAGAAAGGTCTTTAAGGCACTTTTCTTGTGCATGGCTGACCCCAGTTCAATCACCAGCACCCCATATAGTTCAGAAAGGTCTTTAAGGCACTTTTCTTGTGCGTGGCTGACCCCGGTTCAATCACCAGCACCCCATATAGTTCCTGAGCACCACTGGGGGTGATTCCTAAACGCTGCCAGGCATGGTCCAAACCGTCCCCTTCTCAGAATTGGAGATCCACATGACATGCTGCACTAGATTCCTGACAGGTGTACAGCATAAAAGAACTTGGGTAGTGAGCTAGTTTGTATAGCTGGTAAGGCAAGTGTCTTGGGTGTGGCCAACTGGGGTTTGATCCCTGGCACCCTGTACGGTCCCCTGAGCCTTGCCAGGAGTAACCCCTGAGCAATGTTGGGTATAACCCAACCCGTCCCACCCTCTCCCAAAGATTTTCTATTCGTCCTTTCAGAATTGATCGATGTGATGGAGCCGGTGTGGGATTTGGTGATCTTTGAGAGCCTTGAAGACCAGGACATTCTGGTCAAACTCGAGGGCAGTTTGCTCTGTGGATGTTTTCCTCCTTTTAATTAGTAACTTGCTTTGTGTGTGTGTGTGTGTGTGTGTGTCTGTCTGTCTGTGTCTGTGTGTGTTTTAAACCTGGTTGCTAAAACCAAATATTTTCCTCGGCCTTTGTTGCTCAAGATTCTGCATTTCAAGGCGCTGCGTTGGGTCCGAGGCAGGGAGAACTTTGAACGCACTTGGACAGTGTGCCCAGGGTTATATAATGTGAGCGGGGTGAAAAAAGCCCTGATCACACCTTAAATTCTCTAGCCGCCTTCACTTTAGACAGGGGTGTCCTGTTACCAGCACCTGTGCCCAGCAGAATAGGGGCCTTGTTGCCTCTGCCCCCGCCACCCCCACCCGTTTGCCACCAGTATCCTCTCTCCGGAGTTCGGCCTAAAATTAGAACTGCTAAAGGGACTTCTTGAATTCCATCGACATCTTTTGTGGTCAGAAGGCATGCGTGATATTTTTCCCCACTTATCAGAAGATCAAGAATGTGGGTAATGGGCCCAAGAGGTGGATAATGATTTCAGAGTTGTTTTCTTCCCTCTGTTTGGACTTTGGGGTTCCTGTCGAATGGCCGGGTTCCCTTATTTGGTGTTTGTTGGGGGCCTCCCGTGTGGAGGGCCTCCCTGCCGAGCAGTGAAGAGCTGGTGCGCAGGACCTGCCTTTGGACAGCTGCAGCCTTGGGAATCCCCCGCCCCGCTCGCCAAATACCTAATGTTAATACAGTATGGTGGCCCAGAAAGAAGGGTTTATTATAGTCAAGCCTCAGGAAGCGCTGGTCTCCTCAGGACCACCCTTTGCATCTCGATAAAATGTTTTTTTTCTAGGATGGTAGTGGAAACACCCTCCCTGGTGGCTCCCCCAGTGGCCCTGAGCTTGGAGGATCATGGGCCTCTTTGTCACTGGTGCCACACAAAG